AGTACTGTAGCAGTTATCAGTTGATTATAGAAGTTTTCAAGCATACAGCTGAATGCTGCAATAAAGTCCTATGTTCTTATATATGGGAATAATCCAGCCGTTTGGGATTTTGACACCTTTGGTTAGTTGCTATATCGAAATATTCCCTCAGAATGGGCCTTAAGGGACTATTGTCATTGCTTTTGGCTTTCTGGGCTATTATAAGTGGGTCACCTTTTCTGTTGGCTCATAAGAATTGTAATTAGGTCACCCTTTTTTAGTAATTCAAAATCTAAAATGTTAAGGTGACTAGTTTTTTCTTTAAATGTGAAGGTAAGAACGAGTTTTGAATAAAAGTAATAACCAAACCAGAGAATGTAAAGCTGCAGGGGAAAGAAGATCAAATTTAATTATCAGAAGACTTGAGCAAAAAGGATGCCCAAGACAGGAATCGAACCTGTGTCGCCACGGCCACAACGTGGAGTACTAACCACTATACTACTTGGGCCGAAAGCGAAGGCAGCAAGTATGCCTCGTGAACGCGTCTTAGTTGTCTGTTTAGTAAGAACTTAATAGGAGTATTCTCTAATAAGATATATCGTGCTATTGATACGACAAGAATGTAGGCTTGGTATATCAGGACGAAATTATACCTATTTTTATCATTAGGTGCTTCCTTTTTATAGCCTTTGTTTCGTATACTCAGCCACCAGCTACATGTAATCTTCTCTGGTTGGGAGCTAGTATGAAACTTTTAGCTCTTTGCTTTCCCAGCTAGTCTTACATTTAAATTCTTTAATCTTTTTTTTGAATCCTCTTCTTTATTTGAATTTTCTTCACATTATTCTATCTCATCTAAGATTTTGACACTTACTTTAGTTTTCCTTCAGCTGAGTGGAAATCTCTTTCATGTTTTCTACATATAAATGAATTAGAAAGGTAGCAAATGATGATTAATTTATTGTGGGACAAAAATTAGTCAATCGATAGTCATATTTTACATAATCATAATGTTCATAGTGTCTTTTAAAATCCGAATGGCCTACTCAGAAACGCGTTTTTCAAACATTTCCAACCAACACCTTAAATGCTTAGTTTGATAGGACTTCCAATTTTTTAAGACCACCTTTGAATTTTTGATCTTAAGATTATGTCAGTTCCTTACTCTCCTGTTGCAGGATCCTTGCTAACCTCGTTGGCACAAGCGCATGTTCGCTGTTTGGATTTCTCAGCTTTCTCCGAGTCTCCGGCAGCTATCACTGCTATCACGGCAGCGGATATGTGCCAATTCATTGTTGTTAGTTTCATACTTATCTTTCTTTTTTTTCCAAAAAAAAGCATTTGAGTGAGCTCTGTTTTTAGTCATGGAGAGCTCTGAAATGCCCGTGGATGATCCGGTCAATTATGTTCAACTCTACTGTGACCATAAGCGAATTTCGTACTGTAGCTGGACGAGCCGGGCTGTTCGCCACAGCTTTGACCGACATACCCTACTGTCGGTTCCGGACTTATCATCCATCTGACCCA